TTTGGGGACAAGGTCAGAGAGGCCAGATTGAGATGGTTTGGACATGTGCAGAGGAGGGATAGTGGTTATACTGGTAGAAGGATGTTGGAGATGGAGCTGCCAGGCAAGAGGTCAAGAGGAAGGCCAAAGAGGAGATATATGGATGTGCTAAAAGAGGACATGAAGTTAGTTGGGGTGAGAGTAGAGGATGCCGAGGATAGAGTTACTGTAGGTAGAAACAGATGATTCGCTGTGGCAACCCCTAATGGGAACAGCCAAAAGAAGAAGAAAATAACTAACTCCATCATGACCAGCAGCAAAATTAAAATGCTCTTTATACATAGTTGCAATGTCATATCAGTAACGGGACGTTGTACTGCAGAACGAGTATTTTTACTTTTGACACTATAAAATTATTTTGTTGATTATACTGACAGTAGGCACTTCTGATTAAGAAGAGGTTTGAATGCAGGAATTTTTCTTTTAATGTATTATTAGGTCATCAAATTAGCACATTACTTCAGGAAAAGATCAGAATAAGTAATCCACCGCTGGTCAGGGTAGGGTGGGCTATGTGTTTTTGTCTCCAGCACTCCCTGATTTATGATAAACTGTGTAAATTACAGTGATATGAGCCTGATAATCACATTTATTACAGTAATTTATTAAATTTTATTACAGTAAAATATGTTAGATAAATAAATTAAATATTAAAATTAAATTAATATATTAAAATAGCTCCATTCCAAGTAAAAGTTCTACATTCAAAGTCTTACTCACCTTCTTACTTAAACGTATTATGGATAAGATGTACTTAAACTGTCAAATGTAAAACTACATAATATGCAGCAGAACGGACCCTGACATACTGTCGCATTTATCATTTGATTTTTCCTATTATTTATGCATAGACTTCTAAATAGCTTTTTAATTCTGTAGCTAGTTGAAGTGGAGCTGATGTTCTGCCTTGGGTAGATTAATCTGTAGCAATGCATCACATTTTATATATTTTGACATTTAAAATAGGACTCTGTAAACATGTAACTGCAGGTGTGAGATAAATGTAGTGGAGTGAAGTCTAAGGTGGCATAATTATAACTATTCAACTAAAGCACATGTAGTGCTAGTAAGGTCTGGAACTGCTATTCATGTGTCATTAGGCACGCTGAACCTGTGGGGGCCTTATGCACAAGTAACAACAGAGCTTCTCCAAAATAACCACACAAACACCTGTGCTTTTGTTTGCACTAAACTAGCCGTGCAATACTGGTTTGAGTTGTCGGCTAAATCACGGGGTGTAAATGAGACGGTAGCATTGGGGATGCATGAGGTGCAGTTACTGCATGACAAAAACTCTTATCTCTCTCAGAGCTAAAACTAATGGGAACAGCCAAAAGAAGAAGAAAATAACTAACTCCATCATGACCAGCAGCAAAATTAAAATGATGATTAGGCTATAAGAGTGATGACTGAAACCAGCAGCCCTGTCTGCAGGTCCAGTAACAGCCAGACGCCTGTAGTTCACGTCATCTTCATTCTGGCTCAGAACAAGCCTGATCTGCTGCTGCGTTTTAAACGCTTTCTTACAGCTCACAAATGTTATATATTGCGAAATTATAAGGACCGACCACAGGTCCAGGTAAATTTGAAACAAAAATTTCAATAAACAAATGAACTATCTACACAGAACAGGCCCTGGTTTGTTAACACCTGTATGCCTACGTGCCTGCCAAGCCTACGGCGAGTATTTTTACTTTTGACACTATAAAATTATTTTGTTGATTATACTGACAGTAGGCACTTCTGATTAAGAAGAGGTTTGAATGCAGGAATTTTTCTTTTAATGTATTATTAGGTCATCAAATTAGCACATTACTTCAGGAAAAGATCAGAATAAGTAATCCACCGCTGGTCAGGGTAGGGTGGGCTATGTGTTTTTGTCTCCAGCACTCCCTGATTTATGATAAACTGTGTAAATTACAGTGATATGAGCCTGATAATCACATTTATTACAGTAATTTATTAAATCTGACCTTAGCTCCAAAAGGTTCCATCGTCTCCTTGCTGCACAACCAAATGTATGGTTTTTGCATTATTTGAAAAATGGCCCAGGCGCTATCTTTTTTACCAAATCATAAATGACAAATTTGGTAAATGTTTTGCTCTGAAACCAAACTAAGTGTATTTTCTAATCACTACACCATTGTTAACACATTCCATGCCTGTCCTGCCAAATAATATTTATTTTACACTGAGAAAACGTTGAGTGTATGTCTGTTCCCATTAAAACTTATATCAGAATGTTTGACTAAATATCTATCTTAAATTCATAAATTATGTGTGTGTGTGTAAACGATGTGTGTAAAAAATGTCAAAAGATATGTAAGATATGGTACCTATCCACCGCCTGACTCTGGCCAGCAGATGGTCCTCCCTGGGGGGTCCACGATGGTCCATATTTCTAGCAGAAAGTCACTTTATTATAAAGTTTTGTCCTGGGGTTTCCTATGGTTCAGGTGTCAAACAACTGCTTTTGTTGAAAAAGGGTTATCCAAGAGTTTCCAGCAGACAAGATTTGCACCAACTCAACTCGTGTGTAGTCCAAGTGAAAACGGTCTACTGCCTCAGTTTACTTCACCATTCAATTCCCTTGACTTTCACGGAAGCACATGCATGTGCATGCATAAGAAGGCAGATACTGTACATTGAATGAATCATGTCAGTGGCATGAACAATAGACTACAATTTTGGACTCCATCTGCTCAGAGTAAGACATTTTTGAGACCTCTCCAAATTTGCAAAACAACTTTGTGGCATACAAAGCCATTCTTTTATAAATATGTGTAGCATAAGAATGTGGGCATTTCCTTTTCACCTGCCTTTTTATTGTGTTCCATGCAGATCATTTTCCTAAACACATTTCGGCATGAAATCACACTGGATCCAAACACAGCAAACACATATCTGTTATTATCTGAGGGAAACAGAAAAGCAACAGCAATGAGTCAACAACAGTCTTATTCTAGTCACCCAGACAGATTCACTAGATGTTGGCAGGTCCTGAGTAGAGAGAGTCTGACTGGACGTTGTTACTGGGAGGTGAAGTGGACAGGGTATGGAGTTAGAGTAGCAGTCACATACAAGGATATCAGGAGAAGAGGGCACTGGAATGAAAGTGGACTTGGATCCAATGACAAATCTTGGGCATTAGATTGTGACAAAAACAGTTATGATTAATTATTGGGACATCCTGATAGTAAAGAGTTACAGTAGTCCAGCCTGGAAGTAACAAATGCATGGACCAGTTTTTCAGCATTACTTTGAGACAGAATGCTCTTGATTTTGGTGAGATTGCGCAGGTGAAAGAAAGCAGTTCTAGAGACTTGGTTTATGTGTGATTTAAAGGACATATCCTGATCAAAGATGACTCCAAGGTTCCTCACAGTAGTACTGGAGGCAAGAGCTATGTCATCTAAAGTAACTATATG